CACGATCGATACATGGCGCGGCGGCGGCGGCGGCGGCGGCGGCGGTGGCGGCGATATAGTCACGTTTGCGAGTCGAGGAACAAGGAACGAGGAACGAGATGAGACAGACGGAGCCGAGTGAAAAGGCCATCGGCCTGCGCCGCAGACGGATTGGTAACGGCTGCGGCGCTGCGGTTATGGGAAAAGGTAGGCGAGCGAACGCGAAGCGAGCGTGATGGACGGATAGGAAGGGAGAAATTTATTATACCTCGGAGCCCCAGGCCTCGTATATTTAACAATAACGCACGATACGTACACTCGTGACAATATCCGAAGAAATATACCTATATACGGATTTATCCGTTTTATGTCCGAACGTTTGTCTCTCGCTGATCTATTCCGCTTCGAAACGAGTATTTTCCATTTGATAACGCAAGTCGATTTTTAATATCTAATTTTTAATTTCTGCTTTCCATTTAAATTGTAGATATTATTTCAATTATATGTGTGGGTGAGTAATCTTAATTTTTATCACCTTCATCATTAAGGATTATAACATATGATGATAATTGACATATATTGATAATTGATTAACTGATTGACCTATCATGTATATGTGTATATACTATATATAGATATTATACATAGAAAAATTAATGTAAATAAAAATTAAGATTATTTATTAATCCATCCACGTATATTGTTAATACAATTTAAATGAAAAACAGAAATTATATATTAATTAGAAATTTTGTATACAGGATATTTAGCGTAACAGTCCGCACGATTTTTCGGACACTTCCAACAGTTAAAAAAAAAGTTGAAAGGTAAATATTTATCTGTTTCATACAGGCTACAACATGCAATAAAAAAATATTTAAAAAAATTTTTTTTCAGAAAAAAATCAGTCAGCTTAAATTTTTTAAATGGCACATAGAATTTTTTTTCCATAATATTGTAGGGGTCTTCAAGACGAACTTAATTCAAATCACTTTATTGATTGTTGTATTTATTGCATATTTTATTAAATAAATACATAATATGTATGTATGTGTCATAAATATCCATATAAAGAATGCTATTATAAGCATAAATCAATAAAAAAAAACTGTAACTTTTATATATGTATGTATATTTATGTTCTTCTCTAATCAGAAATTGAAAGCACTGCTGTTACAAATAATGATGCGAATTTGATATTAAGTATCAATAAAATCAATAAAACATTAATAAAAGTGACATTTAGGTAGTAA